TCTCTCTCTCTCTCTCTCTCTCTCTCTCTCTCTCTCTCTCTCTCTCTCTCTCTCTCTCTCTCTCTCTCTCTCTCTCTCACACACACACACACACGAAGAAGATAGTGGACTTAAGCGTGATGGTGGACGGGCAGTGGGCGGGCGAAGCGGGGTGTCGTGTCGGCGGCATCACTTGGAAATCGCGCCGGATGGTAGACTTTGCTCGTGCGATTTTGAGTGGGCGTTCGATTTCCAACGCCCATGTGAAATCAGGCGGGCAAAGACTACCATCCCGCACAATTTCCTGGCCATCGATCTTGAAGATCAACGGGCAGGAATGTCCAGTTTTTGGTTCGCCGCGCATTTTTTTTTTGAGCCTGGGGGGTCCGAGGGCCCGCAGGAGGCCGCCAGGGCTGAAATCCCCGAGCTCTTAGTTTGTTTGTTTTTTTGGTGCAAATAGCGCCCAGGACCCCGACTGGGCCTCACGACCGGCCGGGCGTCCGGTCGCCAAACCAGGCGTGAGTTTGGGACCTGCGCCCGGGAAATCAGCCTAGCCTGCAATGACAATATGCCTGTGTGTGTGTTTGTCTGTGTGTGTGTGTGATCGAAAGGAACACACACACACTAACGCACATGACAGAAACAGAACACACACACACCCACACATTTTTGTGCTTTTCTTTTTTTAAATATCCAGAGGCTATATCCAATCAATAAATAGATTGGATATAGTTGTTAAAAAGTGGTGGGCAGGGGTGTTCTAAACCACACACCGTGTATGCATGAAATCGGCCTTGGAACTTCGTTTTTTCAGCTGATTTTAGGTGTTAAGGGTGCATGGACATTAACCAACACCCCGACACCCGGGAAAAAAAAAAAAAAAAAAAAAAAAAAACAGTATGGGGCCCCTCCTGTACGAGTAGCTTACGCGTACGGATTTGTACGGCCATATGTGTACGCGGTGCCGTACGGATCGCTACACAGCGGCCAGGTGGCCTAGCTTTCATTCATTTTCACGCCTTGCAATATTTACCATATTGGAGCAGGCCCCACTGGTGCTATGTTCATGCTAATAAATTAAGCACCTATCCATTTTTAGGACTAGACTCATGCATTCGGAGCACCAACATAGCAACCTGGGGCCTGGTCCTTTGGACTTTCGGAACTTTCAAACAGGAACCATTGGTCTACCAATCTTACTGCACTTATTTCTGTTCCTAGGCTACAAAGCATCATTTTCCGGACAAAGGTTTCAATCATCTTTTGTTCCATAATACCATTTTTCCACATATGATTTTCTTGCGGTGTTTTAACAACTTTAGTTGCATTCTTCCTTTTCAGACTTGCATGTGGCAAATGTTTCTTTTGCCCCTTTCTACTCTTGATTGTGGTGTTTTTACAACAACATGTGGATTCTTCCTTTCCATTCTTGCATTAAGCATAGGACTTTTCCAGGCAAGTGTCCTGCCCCCCCGCCCCCCCCCCCCCCCTCTTTTTTTCCCTCCTGAACCTGGCTATGGTTTCATCAATCAACTTATTGTACACCTAGGGTCAGGCCCTAATGGTGCTACATTCATGTTCGGAAATCATGAACCAGGCCATAAATGTGGCCAGGTTTGTGCCTCCCTAAATCCGCACAGAACCAGTGGGGCCTGGCCCTTAAACAACCTCACTACCTGATGACCGCCTGGTTACCACAAGGCTCATTGGTACGTCGGCTTTGATGATCCAATAGCCCCATTTTTCCTCTGCTGTCACTAGGGGTCGAGCCAAGTGTTGCCTTAACCCTTTCCACAGTTATGAATCGTATGATGTTACGTTTCTGTTTTCTTCTTCTTTTCCTCCAGCAGTGTGACAGACATATGAAGTTGAATGAAC